AATCCTTACAGGCTGACGCCATAATTTCAGTCCAGCTCTACAACAGACTTTATCCCCAACAGTCAGCACAGCCCAGTGGCACGGGAAGGGGGGCGCTACGGGGGCTGCAGCCTCCCTCGTCATAGCATCAGCCCCCCATGGTGGGGGGCTGTGGAGTAACATAATATTGTACTTAAAAACATGAAATTATTTATGTATTTATTTTTTAAAGGACTGTGTTTGATATGGGATTAAAATGATGGGCTGTGTATAAGATATAAACTAATGATTCATTATTTTAATATTTCATAAAAAACTAGGCTACTCCCCCGGAATTTTCCGCCACCTCACATTCGTTTAGGCATGGCTAGCAATAGGCAGCAGAAACGTATTTCTGACTATTTCGAGGTAAGAAATGGTTTTAATTCCCCTATACTGCCGCATTTAGCGTTATTTATGTGCCTATTCATCTTAGTCCTGTGGCTGAAGAAGTCTACGCTAGAATAAGGCTGCATATCACTAAATTTTATGTCTGTATTAAGCTATTTAGTGATAAAATATGAAATTAGTTAATTTTTTTTTGTGTGTGTTTTTTGTTTCAGATATGAAATCCTTCCCTCATATCCATAGTCGAATGGACTTTCAAGACGTTCAATGCTCAGTTTAGGCTATATTTAGGCCATGTTTTATTCAAGTATTCCTGATCCTGTTGATTGGGAGCTGTTGTTTGTTTTCAATGATTAAAAGAGAAGAAATAAAGTTTAAAATGTTCATGCTTTGTTCCGATGCATTTTAAATGGCAGTTTTTGGCGACAAATGTAGGCCTACAATATTATGTTAAAAACGTCAGCCACAGGCCTCAACATAATGACGTCATGTGTTTTCCAACCCAGCCATCAGCCCCCTTCCCTTGAAACAGCTTCCAGCGCGCCTGGCACAGCCCTACACTAACCAACATACCAGGCAAGACGCTTTACATCTCAAACAAACCTAATCACAGCTAGTTTAAAGGCAACATGGCTGGTTTGGAAAACTAGCTGTGCTGTAATTGTGCATGCAACCTGTGGCGAGTCTGGTGACTTTTGGAGATTCGTAAAAAAGTAATGAGATTTATTAGTCTTGATTTAAAGCCTGTACTTTTCTTAACCCTTTATAGGGCGCTCAGTGAAATACTTTAAAAATCCAAATTTCAAGCCAAGAGTGTTATTGGAATCCAGGACAAGACCTTATTACTTTTGTAACATAAAAAAAATGAATATTTTGATGGCAAAAATTTATGTCAATGTAACAAGAAACGCCAGCTTGCCTGAATATATTAAGTAAAATAACAAAAATGCTTTTAAAAGAAATTCATGAAAAACACTCTGAGAGTGAAAGAAACACATTTTTTCCTACAATATAACCTTAGTGGCATTAATGTTGATATTGGCACTGACATTTTTTAGTTTATAAACCTATATATAACCATATAATTGTTAACTAGGCTTATTAACTTTACTTTTTAACTTTTCATCTTTTTTTCTTAAATTGATAACAATATTTTTCAACTTAATTTAAACCTAACAGTCATGTTTTTGGACTGTGGGAGGCAGCCGGAGTACGCGGAGATAACCCATGCATGCACAGGGAGAACATGCAAACTCCATGCAGAAAGACCCAAGGCCGGGAATTGAACCCAAACCTTCTTGCTTCAAGGCAACAGGGCTAAACCACTGCTCCATGAGCATTTAGATTTTTACCTTTTTTCTTAACTTGATAACTTTCTTTTTCAACTTAATTTACAGTAGGTAATATCTCACTCAAGGGCTCATCTAATTGGTCAAATACCAAAAAAAGATGTACAGCCATGTAGCAGCATCTTTGCTGAATGGCTGGATATAGATCTTGTGCTTCTAGAACTAATTGAGGGAAGTGGGGGACTCCATTTGTAAGGGGTGTGCCAATGATCAAAAACGCTAACCTGCCCTATAAAGGGTTAAAACATCTTGCCAGGAGTCAGCAAATACATTTGGCCACGAAATATTACAAAAGCTGAATCCATATCCTCATTAACACTAGCCTTTTGAAACCGTGCTGAGATTGGTCCGAGCACGGTAACCGAGATAACTGCTTAGTGTAAACGCGCAAAACTGAACTGTGCCAGACACAACAGAACCACGCTAACATGGTACTAGTTCATCAGTAGGGCCCGGCGCGGTTCAGTTCTGGCTCAGTTCTCATATAACAAAGAGCGCATGTGCAGATCGCTTCATCTCCTTACACTCAGCCTCTGTAATCATGAAACTTTAGACATTCCAAAAATACTAGCTTCCCTACCGTGCCACAAGATTTCCAGTGATGATTCTGCTCAGCAGTGTGATGAACCTCAACTCCTCTCATTGTTTCCTGTATCTGTAAGCCCTGATTAGACCATCGTTTGTCGTATCCACTTCCAGTGGTGTCAAAAGTTAACACATTTGTTACTTAAGTAGAAGTATAGATACTGCAGTTTAAAAACACTCTGGTAAAAGTTGAAGTATCAACTTGACCTCTTTACTCAAGTAAAAGTGAAAAAGTATGTGCTCCAAAAACTACTTAAAGTATAGAACTATAAAGTGACCTTTGAATAACAGCCAGATGCCACTATATGAATTGAAAGCTCAATTTTACAACAAATTTCTTTGAGATAGGGCCAAGGATGAGGGAGGTCCTGTTGGTCTCCGTCTCCCGATAGGCTCTAGCCTGTGTCCGATCTTTCAGACATTTCAACATCTTTCTCTGAATCCGACATTGTAGAATGGCATAGACAATTCATGTTTGCAGTTTGAAGAACACCTGCTTGCTTCTGAGGATTTCCTTTAGCTAACCAATGAGTGTTTGCATTACATGACTCATCCAATCACACTAGAGTAGAAGTCAGAAGTAGGAGGAAAAATAAGTAATGGAGTAAAGCATAGATACCTAAAAAGTGAAGTACAGTAACAAAGTATTTCTACTTCCTTACTTGAAAACCTCTGCCCACATCCTAAAAGCCGACTCTGTCAAGTAAATTCACCAAAAGCTGTCTTCTTCACCTGACTCTCCGCAAACTTCCTGAATGTTACGGGCGCCGCCATGTTGGTTTGCTTGTTTCCCTCTGGACAGCAGTAGTACCTTGGATTCTAAGGAATGCATTTAATTTAAATTTTGGAGTGATGATTGGATGCAGTTTTATACGGTGGATAATTTTGATGTTTTATTTAAGGGGGGATGTAATCCCGTCTCAAATCTACTGCTGTTCCTCATTTTTACATTAACAGCAACGCAACCAGCTACAGTAACAGCTGGTCCTCCATGAAACGTGCCCACAAGCTCTCTATAGTAATAACAGTCAACTACAATGTAGAATGTTGCTAGTAGTCTTCAACAGTCTATAAGCAACAATTCCCCCCTCATTCATCATACGGTAAAACCGGGACAATCCTGGAGACAGCTTTAGCCGGGGACATCTGCTTACTGTAATATATATGCTGACGGTGGTTAGAGGGTCTGGTGATGCATATTCTACACATGATTGTTAATATTTTTTCATGTATATATTTCATGATTTTTCTTCAAAAGTTTTTCAACAGATTTTATATTCTAAATGTCATGTTTTAAGTGATTAATATGTGATTTATGAAATCCAAATAAAAAAAGAATATAAAATGATTACATTTTTAAATTAAATTTAATTCAATTCAGTTTATTTCTATAGCACCAATTCACAACACGTCATCTCACAGCACTTTCCAGTTCACCAGATCATCCAGTCAGATTGATTTAAAATTTTCTATCTAAGGAAAACCAGTTGATGCATCGACTCATTGACTTGAAGGCAATCCCTCACATAAGGCATGCTTGTAGTGACAGTGGAGAGGAAAAACTCAATTTTAACAGGAAGAAACCTCCAGGAGAACCAGGCTCAGTGTGAGCGACCAACTGCTGAGGATGAAAAATAAAAAATAAAAAATGCCATTCATAAAATTATAAAAAATGAGAACTGGAAATTTTGAAAAGTAAAATATAAAAAAAACAACATTTTCAAACTTTAAAGAGTAAACTCATTTTTCATGTCAATTTACATTTGCTTTAAAAATCATCAAGAAAAAGTACAATTTTAGAAAAAATGAATATGAAAAATAATACATTAAAAAAATTTTATTATAGAATAAATAATTTAAATTAAATTAATACAATTTGTAAAAACAGAGAAATTACTTTCAAAACCTTTTATTGATTCAACATTTTAAAAGATCAATTTCTGAACTGTGAGTTTCTTTTCCTTCAAATATCTGTTTACAAAACACGTTCTTTGATTGCAACACTATTCTAGAAAATAATTACCTGAAACAATAGCAATTATTTTAGGAAAGAAACACCATTATTAGCCTGGTCCCCCCACACCAAAAAGAAAAATAATCTAGCTCCGCCACTGAAGATGCAAAATAAATTTAGACAGAAATCCTGGACCATCAAACTCCCTGAACTCCACCTTTGTCCAGCAGGTGTCGATTTAGGACAACAAAACATGTTATTGGCCTTATTGCATATTAGGAACTAATAATAAATACAAAAATCAAAACAACTGACAATCTTCTAAACGCTTTTGAAGGCAGCCATGGAGATAAACTGATGGTAACCCAACAGAGTTTTAAATTAATAAATTAACTAATTTGTTAATTTTGTTTTTTGTTATTATTACTTTGATTGTGTCTGCATTCCTCCAGAGGCAGCCTGGTTATGTAACAGAGATATGATGAATGCTGTGTGGAGGGAGCGCGCCTGTGCTAGTCTGATATGTCCGCATCCAGCATCCTGGTGCGGGCTCGGTGCCAGAGGGATGCGGGATGATGCGGTGGGGGGGATGGGTGGTTACAGATGCCATTGGTCTTTATGTAACAGCAGCTGGCTCACGCTTCAAATGAGTGACTAACCGGTGGCAGCGTGGGGCGCACCGCAGAGCATTAGTGGCTGTTTACCAGTCAAACCTGGAGCTGTCCGGTGTGTGTGTGTGTGTGTTGTTGGATGGGGGGCCGGAGGGGGGCGGAGCCTCTCCAACATGAGTAAATGACGTCAGCTCCCGGGTCGCCGAGCAGAGAAACAAACATGGCGACAGAATGGAGCGGCCAGCAGGGTTACGCTCTCACCGTCATTATCTGCCTGTGGAGCGCGGTGGGCGGCCGGACGGAGACCGCAGCGGCGGCTGGATCCGCCCGGGTCAGCGGCGGGAGCCAGGTGCTCGGCATGCGGGTGGAGAGGAGCGACAAGCCGTCCAGCACCAATGACGACGGTGTCATCCAGGTGACCGAGGAGAGCACCGTCCTGCTCCGGTTCTACGGGGTGCAGCTCCACTCGGGCGCCTGGACGCAGATCCGCTTCACGGAGGTACCGGAGAGCGGCGGGGAGGAAGAGGAGGAGGAGGAGCAGGAGGAGGCGGTCTCCGCGGCCAGGGGAGGCAGCGGCATGATGGACACGCCGGAGCGGACATGTGTGGACTTTACAAAGGACATCAAAGTCGGGAGCTACATGAACGTGTCCAGCCGGGGAACCTCCGGGCTGCTCAGCGTGCGCGTTAAGCCGCTGCGTAAAAGCGAGCCGCAGAAGGAGTACGCGCTGTGCACGCTGAGCCAGGATGGCTCCAGGTGGCTGATGCTGGGGGAGAACGACGGCAGGGTGCTTGTGGTGGAGGAGAAGAAGTCCCTGCTGCCCATGTGGCTGCAGGTGATCCTGATCTCCTGCCTGCTGGTGCTCTCCGGGATGTTCAGCGGCTTGAACCTCGGGCTCATGGCGCTGGACCCCATGGAGCTGCGCATCGTCCAGAGCTGCGGCACCGACAAGGAGAAGAAATACGCCAGGAAGATCGAGCCTATCCGCAGTAAGGGGAACTACCTGCTCTGCTCCCTGCTGCTCGGAAACGTCCTGGTCAACACCACCCTCACCATCCTCCTGGATGACCTGATCGGCTCCGGCCTGGGCGCGGTGGTAGCCTCCACCATCGGCATCGTTATCTTCGGGGAGATCGTCCCTCAGGCGCTGTGCTCCCGCCACGGACTGGCGGTGGGAGCCAACACCATCATGGTCACCAAGCTCTTCATGCTCCTCACCTTCCCGCTCTCCTTCCCGGTCAGCAAGCTGCTGGACGTCCTGCTGGGTCAGGAGATCGGCACCGTGTACAACCGGGAGAAGCTGGTGGGGATGCTGCGGGTCACGGAGCCCTACAACGACCTGGACAAGGAGGAGCTGAACATGATCCAGGGAGCCCTGGAGCTCCGCAACAAGACGGTGGAGGACGTGATGACCCCGCTGGCCAACTGCTTCATGATCCAGGCGGACGCCGTGCTGGACTTTAACACCATGTCGGAGATCATGGAGAGCGGCTACACGCGCATCCCCGTGTTCGACGAGGAGAGGTCCAACATCGTGGACATCCTGTACGTCAAGGACCTGGCGTTCGTGGACCCGGACGACTGCACCAACCTGAAGACCATCACCAAGTTCTACAATCACCCGGTGCACTTCGTGTTCCACGACACCAAGCTGGACACCATGCTGGAGGAGTTCAAGAAAGGTCAGTGCGCGCGCGCTCCGGTTTGCTACCAGAGCAGGTTTTATGATGGAGCCAATATTAGGGTTATGGGCAGTGGCGGTCCTAGACCAAAGGAGACCAGCTTTCCATGGGGACCCAGAAAAGCATGAAATAAAAAACAGGTTTTGGAATTCAAATATATTAAAGTCGTAGGGAAATCATATTTAAATGTCAGATCATTCTGGCTTAAACATGTGTATAAATGTACTCTTTATCAGACGATAATGTTCCAAAATTTGGAAAATTTGTCCTAAAATCTGTATTTTTTTCCGTTATCTTCTGCAGGCCAGTTAGTTATACGTCAGCCTGAAAACCTAAATTCGGCCAATCATATAACAACGGTCATCTGTCAATCAAATTTTTTCAGTCATAGCATCTTGATTCATATGTAGCAGCTAATATATGCAACGGTTGGAATAAGAATTATTTCCTTTCCCATTGAGTTCCGTCCCAGTGTTCACGGGGATGAACGTCTGTGTCTTCAGCAGGCGTAGAGCTAACAGAACTGGCAGCGTTGCGAGGCAAGGGCTCAAACATGTACGGCTGGAAGCCTTCTACACCAAACCAAGCTTCTGCCGCCCTGGCGTCCTCTTCCACAACATCTTCATCCCCGCTTTCCTCCTCTAAATAAAAAATGGATGACGGAGGAGACTCATCCACGACCTCCGACACTAAACTCTCCTCCTCTTGCATGTTTCCTCTGTCCATAGCGTTCCTTGACAGCGTCGTTTCTAAGTCACCAATTTAGTGCTACTTAGTCCCAATGGAATTTCCCATTGGGAATACTACTAGCACTAAGTTGCTAACTGGTTAGCAAGATGCTTCCAAGACAGCGGCCACAACCAAACATGCTTGCGAACCTTCCTCTGCAACAATCCCGCCCCCCTTGATAATCGACCAATCACATTCACTTTATTCACTCGTGTAAAGTCGTGCACCACTCAGGAGAATTAGGAAATGCAACAGTTGGAACAGCCGCTTCCCTACGACTTTAGGAGAGCTGCATGAAGTTAAAATTTCTATTCAATTAGGTTTGATTAAAATTCTATGTCTTATTAGCTCAATATACATTCATAATTTAGGTATTTTACATGTTTTTGCCTTCATTTAAGTTAAAATTACCATTTTCTATCAAATCTGAATCAGAACCCAAGAAAAGCGGAAAAATTCAGCTTTAAAAATTAGACTTTGTTTTTTATTTTGTTTTGAAAAAAACATTTAGCAGATGAAAAGTGGGATCCTATCTCAGTGCAATTGAAGCTATCACTTTATTGTTTTTGAATAATTAGTAAAACAGAATTTGTAAATAGATCCAAAGGACCTATCAGTAACCATGTTTGTTTCTAGCGCATATCATCATTAGAGTATTATATCTTCAGTACAGGGGCCAGGACATGATCCACATGGGCACAGGCCCCTGTTGGCCCCTTTCTAGATCTAGAAATTTGAATAGAATAGACATCCATTATTTGTTCCAGGTTTTGTCCCTCTCTTCTGTTCCATCTTCTTGTTTTCCTCTCTGTTTTGTACTCAGCTGACTTTTCATGCTGTCTCAAAAGGAATGAAAGATTTTTTTCCAAGCACTAAGCTCACTTAGCTGATTCCTGTGTTTCCAAAAAGGCGACGGCTAAAGTAAATAACCCAGTCCTTCTTTTCTTTTTTTTTTTTTTCTTTTTCTTTTTTTTTTTTTTTTACAGTGTCCTGTCTGGCAAGGTGGCAATAAGAATAATTGTCTTGATGCCAAAAGGAGCCCAACAGATTTTACTTTCACAAGTGTAGCGGTATGGCAATTGCCATACTGCTCCACTTGTTTCATGTATATAAATTGCTTTATTATAATTATGCAGGGAGTTTTACAGTTCATATGGACACTGCAATGTAAGTAGAGCAGAAAAACAGAAGAAGAAGAAGGAAAAAGAAAAAGAAAAAAACAGGACAAAAGATGAAAGAAAGAGGAGATAGGAAGGAGACAATGACAAAACATTTTCAGTCTGCTTCAACACCTGTAATGAGAAGGGAAAAAAAAAAAAAAAAAAAAAAAAAAAAAAACAGCACAACCAAAAAACATGGTACGAGATATACAATAAAGCAAACACCTTGAAACTATCGCTAACGTAATGTTATTAAGTCTGACATGTACTCTGTGTTACCTGAAGATATGAATGTGGGGTTTCTGTTTGGAAGTGAATCTCTAAGTACCTGAAGCCTAGCACCTTTAGTTGTTTGTGAGGGTGAACTTGTGCATGTAAAGTTTTAACCATAGAAAAAATGCTCAATAGTGGTTGTGGAGAGCCGGAGAGGCACACCCCCCAGAGCACTGAGTCCAGCGCCGGGAGACCCAAAGCCCCAGGCGCCCAAGGGGACCCCAGAAGCGAAGGCACCAAGGCGGGGCCAGCCCCGGAAACCAGACCCCACCAAGGCAGGAGGAGAGACAGCCACGAAGAAGCCCCCCAGCCACCGCCATGCCGGCGCCCCGTGGAGCCGCGGGGACGAGTCAGCGGGCCCCGCCGGCAGCCGGCCACCCCGAAGTAGGGCCGGGCACCGAACACCAGCCCCCCCACGGCGCCGACCGAAACGCCCCAGCCCCACAGAGCACCGAAACACGCCCCGCCCCCCAGCACCAAGCCCCGGCGACCGGCCGCAACACCCACCGCGACCGCACCACCCAGGAAAACACTCAGGCGGCCCCGCCCCCGGCCGGGGCCCATGCGCATCCGCCGCGAACCGGCCGCGAGCGCCGCGGGACCCCCCCAAAACGCCCCCCCCGGCCCAAAGCGCAGCCCCACCCCACCAAGACCGATGCCAACAGCGCGCAACGAAACACACCGCGCACAGAATCAGCCCCAGAGCAGAAAAGCCGCCCGGCGCAAAACCGCAAGAAGAGCAGACCGCAGCCGGCGCAACCACCCCCCCCAGCAGCCCGAGGGGCAGCACAAAGCCAGAGCGGAGCGAACCGCGCCGCCCAACCACCGGACGAAGCCAAAGCACCCCAGCCACGTCCGCCGCCCCCCCCCGCCGCCCGCACCAGGCCCTGACACGCGGCCAGAGCAGCTCCGCCGCCCCGGCCCCCCACCACGCGCCGGCCATAGCCACTCCAGGCCCCCACCCGCCCCGCAGCCCCACCCGCCGCGATCAGCTGGAACAGAGCAGCCCCGCCATGCCTCCAGGAGGGAAAACCCACCCGAATACCTAGCCAGCGCAGCCAGCCCACCCAGACCGGCCCCCCAACACTACCCCCGCCGGAGCCGCCCGGACCCCCACACACCAGCGGCGCGCCGCCAGCAGGACCCCCACCCAGCAGGCCCGCCCGCCCCCCGAGAAAACAGACATGCCAAACCCCCCAAAGGAAGAAGAAAAAAAAAAAAAAAAAAAAAAAAAAAAACAATGCCCCCACAATGCGACAGCGGACACCAGACACCGACCCGCCCGCAACCGCTCCCCCCCACCGAGGAAGAGAAAAAAAAACATAAATAAATAGGTAAATTAATTAATTAATTAATAATTACAATTAAAATAAATAGGCAAGAGGAGAAGTGCGAGCGGAAAAACCGGAGCCCAAAACAGGACCCAAGACCCGCACCCCACCATGCCGTGCAGCTCCGCCCCCCCCCCCCCGACCCGGTACCACAGAACCGGCATAGGAAAGAAACACCGCCCAGGAACCGGCATCGTAGCGAAGGCACCGGCACCGACCCCGAAAATCCCCGAACAATACCCAGCCCCACCCCGAAGCGGATCCAGTCCCAGGCCCCAGGGATCCGAGGCCCCAAGGGCACCCGATCCCCAGACAGGAGCCCCAGCAAAGCCCCGGCCGGCCGGGGCCAGCGGAGAGGCCGCCAGGAATGAGCCAGCAGTCCCCCGGGCATCCACCCCCAGCTCCACCAGTGCACCGGTGAGCCCCGACGCAAGCCAGCGGAGGGAGAGCAGGACGGGGGGAATGGGCTCCGCACTTAGCGGAGACTTGAGATGTATTTGGGAGAGGGTGCGGTTGAGACCCCAACCTGGGAGAAAAAAAAAAAAAAACACACCATCTCAATCATGCCTTCCCTCCCTAGTGCCCCCACTCGTACCACAGGAAAAAAAAAAAAAAAAAAAAAAAAATTGAATAAAATAATAATAATAATAAATAAAGAAAATAACAACGCGGACACACATTCACACATAACACTCACATCCAATAATACCAGGACCAAAAACCCGGTGACACCGGTGGTCGGTCCCGGGACTATCGGATGACCCCATAAGTGAACCTAAAATCCGGATGTGAGGGGAGGGGAGCGGCGACACCGCCACACCAACCCATCTCTTTCCTGCTTCAAGCCCGGCCCCCCACCCCGCACACGGACCGGACCACCCCCAGCAAGAGCCCCCCCCGGGACCGGGGCCCACCCATCCCGCGCCGGCCACCCAACCAGAACCGCCCCCCCCCCCCGAACAGAAAGAAAAAAAAAAAAAAAAAAAAAAAAAAAAAACCTTCAACCAGGCACTTCATGCCCCTCCATCCAACCTTCTTTGGGGAGAGCAGAGGTGACAGCCCCGCCACCAGCAGGCCACCTAGGCCCCGCAGCCAGCCCCAGCCAAAACCACGGACCAGGCGGCCCGCTCTTCCTCCAGGCCCCAGACTCCAGGCGGCAGCCGGAGAACAGGGGTGTGAGAAGACCCCGATCCTCCCTGCGCCCGCTCGGATGTGGTGTTGTTGCGTGTTGCTCTCAGATGCAATTAAAACTGGGAGTACCAAGAGGGGGTGTCCGGCACACTCCACCCCCCCTCCAGGAGATAGACGGTGCCAGCACACCCCCCCCCTTCGACAACCCTCAACCCTCAATGTCTAGATGCGAGAGGGGATGGAGGAGGCCGACCGTGGTGAGGCCCATAAAATAAGCCCCCCCCCCCCTGTGGCCCTGACCCCCACCCCCCGAAAATGCCCTACATAGATGTGTGTTGTGAAAATGATGTAGATGGAAGTGTCTAAAATGCAAAAT